TAAATCTATAAAATGGATCTACATAATACTAATATCCATCATATTATCTATCCACAAAAAAAAAAAAAAAAACAAGCATGCTAACGTATCAAATTTTCAGTATTGCACTATTCGTATTCATACATTGCACTTTCTACAATATTACAATGCACCTTATAACACGACATGTTGCACCTTATAAAATAATACGACGTACCTACTAAAATTACAACCAAAATTATAGTAGTTATGCTAATCAATCGAATAATATTAGTTGGGTAAAGGTCGGATTTATTTATTTATTTTTTAAATAATCAAAATTACCGAATATCTCGAACTATATGAAAAAAAAATATTACCTATTTTTTATTTATTTATATTTTTTTTATAAAAATCAATAATATTTTTCTATCTGTAATTTTTATGTATTGCGAATGCACATTAGAATTATACGGATTGCACCTAAATGTATAACAGATTGCACAAAATCAAACGAGATTGCACAACAAAGAAAAATTTGTAAATTTTTTAGGTGTGTGGGTATTGATAATTATTTGTTTCTTAAAAAAAATATGGTTGAAATTTTAAAGTGCATGTTCCAACATAAAATTGTGCAACTTATATATTATTATTGTTCATGTAAGGAACCTTTACTAAATTACATATTTGCCTCACAAACTAGATTGAAATATATTGATTTTTTGTTTTTAGTGCAAATTAACATAAGTATTTACTAGATATCAAACCACAATAAAAATCGGTGTTCAATTGTATTTCACCACTAATGAAGGAGACTAATCCATCCATATTTTTATTTTAAATAAAGGTGATAAAATATATTGAATTTTAATAAATTGCAATTGGATCCCTAGGCACTATCAAATTCACAAAAAAACCCCACAATTCATAATCTCCTCACCCCCAATATAATTCAACCGCCGGCCACATCCACCAGTCCCACTGGCTCGTCACCGACACTTCATCCGTCGTCACCACCGTTCTCGCCTAACAGTCTACCTGAGGTTCCCTCCCCTGCAACGCCACCACATATTCCTTCCTCTGTGCCCAGAAAAAAAAAGAGCATTCATCCACTGGCTTAACGCCGGCGACAACGGGTAGTTGTGGCTACGATGGGACCAATCACGTCGGTCTGCACACATTGTGTGTTCGTGTCATATGTGGTGGATCTGGAAGGAGAAGATGAAAGTTATCATCGGTTGTGGCAGAAGGTGGAGCAGTTGATGGCATAGGAGATGGTGGTGGTGGGCTGTAGACTGGCGGGAAAAGAATTTTTATGGCGGCGTTGCATGTCTGTGGTCGACGGTAGTCGCGGTGTTCGTTGGTGGACTGTGAGTGTGTAGACTATGTGGACTAGCAGAGTGCTATGCCCGGAAGTCGGAAGCGACGCGGCGGACAGGCGGCGGATGGCGGAGGCGATGTGGCGCGCAGTTGACGGCAACCTATAGTTATTGCCGGAATTGTGTGTGTGTGGGTGTGAGAGAGAGAGGGAGAGAGAGAGGAGAGAGAGATGTGCGTGAGCTGTTGGTGTGCGTGTGGTTTAATGGGAGAGAGAGAGAGAGAGAGAGAGAGAGAGAGAGAGAGAGATTGGTGTGGGGTCCACATGAGGTGTAATTTTTGTCATGCCCATTCTACCCTTAATTTGTGGTCAATTGCACATATTTGACCATGCATGTTTACAGTATTTACTAGAATGCCATATGTTTGACTGATATAATTAAAGTTTGACTTCATCATGACCATTAAGTTGATGGATCCAATGATCCAAATTTATTCTTATTCTTTCATTGTCTACCATTTTCATATGATCCTAACTCTAATAATATATATATTTTATAAAAAAAGTAAACAAAATCTAAAATAATTTTTATTAATAATTTTAAAATTTAAGAATAATTTTTTATCAAGCACTTGTGTGTAATAAAGTGTGGTTGTACTATTCGTGAGCTAGATCAGATCTTAGCCCGCTATTTTTGGAGACATAGCGAGAGCTCGCGGGATCGGCGGCAGACCCACTGGGTGAAGTGGGACTCTGTTTGTCGGCCCTATTCTGAGGGTGGTCTCGGGATTCGGCGTTTCTCGGATGTTGTCACTGCGTTTTCCTACAAGATGTGGTGGCACTTTAGGGAGGGCAAGTCTCTTTAGGCCCAGTACCTCCTCCGGAAATATTGCCCCGGTGGAGCTGCCCATCCTTGCAGGGTGACGACCACTTCTCGTGATAGTCGACAGTGGAGACGGCTCACCATTGTTGGCAGGCATGCTCATAAGCACGTTTTAACAACAAAATTTACTTGGAGTCCCACCGGGCGTGCCAAATTTGTAACAACAAATATTATGAAAAACATAAAACTTTTGTACAACTTGATTTTATATCGATCAAACAATATGCGGGTACAATCTCTATTTATCTCCTCCGATTCTTCTCTTCATGGATTTGGGTTTGAGATCTTGAAAGATGGATTTGACGATTGAACCTCCTTCGGGCTTGGACTTGAATTTCTCTAACATTAATATGGGGGTAGATTGACTTATTCCCGTATTAAATTTTAGGCATTGACTTGATTGAAGACAACTTCTTGGAGAACTTGTTTCTTTGATCTTCTAAAAAGAGGGACTTTGACTTGAACAACGTTGACTCGAGGGCCTGATAGTTTTTTCCTTGGATCAAACGCTATGTTGGTTGAACTTCTCAACGAACGCGGCTTGAATGTTGCTTGAACGTCGTTGATATTCTTGGATTGACTTGAGAAGCGTGAAAGTCATCTCTTTACTTCTTCCGGAAGAGTCGCCGCCACTTTTTCTTTTTCTTGGCGTTCTTCTTCATTGAATGGACTTCGGGCGGTTCTTCAAGAACTTCTTCAAATCTTCAAGAGGGTTCTTGAGAGCTCTTGAATTAGAGACTTTAATTTTCAAGATATGTTTGATATTTTTTAGGTGTTTGAGGTGTGATTTGTGGCATTGAGGAGAGCCCTATTTATAAGTGTAGGAGAGAGAGTCTTAGAGAAGAAGACTTCAATGCGATTAGTCCTTCTTGATTTGATAGAATCTCTTTCCTTATCCTAGGATTTGATATAATCTATTTCCTTATCATAAGATTTGACTTGGTGGACAAGAAATAATAACTTTATTAATTAAATATTTTATTCATCATGGATTTATGTCCCAAAATAAATAAAGACATTAATTAATAAAATATTAAAACTTCGATGTCTACACACGTTTTCTGGACCCTGGGTTCTGGGGAGGTTAGTTTTGGGGATGAGTGGTGGTTCGGCGAGGCCCCACTTTCGAGTACCAGGGCGGTCACTCATCTGCCTTTAATGCAGGTGAAGGACCTTTGGACGGGGGGATTTTGGGATAGAGATAAGATGGAGGATATTTTAGGTGAGGGTGGGGGCTTCAGTAGTCTTGAGATTGACCAGATCTGGCAGATTCCCATACTGGAGGGAGGTTCGGACGACATGAGGTGGAGACTTACATCCTCGGGTGCATACTCTACGTCCTCGGCCTGGGGAGATGTGTGGCTGGGTAACCGGCCTAACCTCCTCTTTCGGGGCCATCTGGACCGACCTTCTCACCCCGACCATTTCCTTTTTTTGTGGTGCCATCTTTTACGGCGCATACCCACTAGTACTGTGATGCAGGCGAGGGGGTTCTCCTTCCACTCCCGTTGTCATTGTTGTGCTGAGACTGGCACTTTCGAGATCGAGACCTTCACCCACCTTTTACTTGAGAGTGAGACTGTCAGGAGAGTGTGAGAGCATTATTCCAGATATATTCATATACCCCTACCCACTACAGATAATTTTTTTGAGCTCCTGAGTTTTTTCTCACACCGCACACACAGTAGACACATGGGTTTCCTTATTCCTTGTCTGATCCTGTGGTCCACCTGGACAGAAAGGAATAACGCGAAGCATAGGGATATTACATTTTCTTGCTCTCACATTATTTTGTAGGTTGACAGACACCTCTATCTTCTCACCGCCTTGGGCAGACTCACGGCGAGAGACTGGACGGGTTGTACGCCGCCCCATAGTTTGAGGCCACCATCCCCTCCACTTGTCTAGCACCCACGCCTAGGACTGTTGTTTGGCTGAAACCCAAGTCTCCTTGGGTTAAGCTGAACACTGATGGTGCATTCGACAGACATACTGGAGCTGCTGGAGGAGGGGGCCTAATTAGGGAACATGATGGAGCGCTCATCATTGCCTTCCATGGCCCACTCCGGGCCTCCTCGAGCTATGATGCAGAGATTCATGCGCTCCAGATAGGTCTTCAGATTGCCGCCTCAATCTCCTCCCATGTTTGGATTGAGATGGATGCTGCAGCTGTCATCACACTTTTGACATCTAGCCACCAGGGCTCATGGCAGATCCAACATCCACTTATGCGCATCAAAAACACCCTCCGCTCGATCCACTACCAGGTCTCGCACATATTCCGAGAGGGGAACCGCCCCGCTGATTTCCTTGCTCGCACCAGAGCATCTATACCTCAGAGACGCACCCTCCACCCCGGGGACATCCCCCTCCGGCTTCGGACCCTCATTCGGATGGACCAGCTAGAGTATCCATCCTTCAGACTTGGACAACCACCACCACCATGACCCTGCCTTGACTTGATGCTATGGACTTTACACCTGGCCTCCCATGGCCAGGCTGCCTTATCATGAGGATTTGCCTTTGGCCCCACATTGGCATTCTTCGACTCTTGTATCTTTTATTTTGACGATGTTCGTATGTATTTTCGACACTGATGTAGAACATTGACTTATTAACCCTCTCAGGGTCGTTATATTCACAAGTGGGGGTGCTGCTTCAACCCCCACCCCACTCTAGGGTGCTTTTTGCTTAAAAAAAAAAAAAACTGTGGTTGTACTAGTAAATTTGATTGGTGGAGGATAAACTAAATTGAAAAGCATCCTAAAAATTAGCAATATTTCGATTACCGAAATTTATTTCCCGTCCCGTTTAGAAAAAAGTCGGACGTGCTGTGCAAAAATGTCTTCCAGCGGTGTTACGGTGGCGGACGGCGGCCCGCATATGTACTTCTGCCACCAATGCGAGCGCACCGTCTCCATTACCCCTTCCCTCGCCGGCGACATCCTCTGCCCCTCCTGCAACTCCGGTTTCGTTGAGGAATACCAAAACCCTAACCCTAATCCCGCCATCCCCGACGTGTTCTTCCCCGACCCTCTCTCTCTTTTGCTCTCCCAGTTCCTCGTCACCTCAGCAAACCCTGAATCTGATTCCCGGTCCGCACAGGACGGGGATTCTCCGATGGGGCCGGATGCTTTCGACCCGTTATCGTACTTGTTCAACCTTCTCGCGAATCGCCGTGCTAGCGGCATTGACTACCAGTTCGTGATCGAGGACCATCCATCGGCCGCCGGTTTCCCTTTTCCTGCCAACATCGGGGATTACTTTGTGGGGCCCGGATTTGAGCAGTTGATCCAGCAGCTGGCTGAGAATGATCCTAATAGGTACGGTACCCCGCCTGCAGCCAAATCGGCTGTTGAGGCCCTACCAAATATCAACGTGGATGAGGACTTGCTGAAATCTGAGCTTGCTCAGTGCGCTGTGTGTAAGGACGATTTTGAGTTGGGAACTGTTGTTAAGCAGATTCCCTGCAAGCATGTTTACCACCAAGATTGCATTCTGCCCTGGCTCGAGCTGCATAATTCCTGCCCTGTTTGTCGATATGAGCTGCCCACTGATGATCCAGAATACGAGAGCAATGTGAATTCGGACCGGAGAGGTGATGATGGTGCAGCTGAGGATTCTGCCGGGCCTAGGACGGGTCAGAGGAGGTATACCATACCATTGCCTTGGCTGTTTGGCGGTTTTGGATCTGGGTCAGGGTTGGGGCCAGATTCAGGTGGTGAGGGGTCGGAACAGTACAGGCGGGAGCGGAATTAAATGTGTCTTAGGTATGTGCTGTTTTAATAATTACGCATTTGGTCGCATACTTTGGTGTTCTCTTTGCGGGGTAATCTAGTGTATTGTGGTCTGTTGTCCAGGTAAATGTTTGCTGGAATTTGCTTAAGTGTGTATTTTGCTATTTGACTTGCTGGAAGCTGTCCAATAAGAATTGTGATCCATTTATATGAACCCTCTACCTTTTTGTGCCTTATCAATGTTTGGTTGCCTTTTTGGTTTCATAATACCTTTTCTTTTGTTATTTTTTGTTGTTTTCTTTTCGTAAGAAAGATGCAGCAATATCTTTTGGTTAGCAAAATCTCTAAATGACCAGATTTCCTTCACTAAATTTTAATGCAGGAATAATATACATGATAGAAGAGCCCCATTAAACTTCTGTTCCTTCTCTATCTGATCTTGATTGCTGTTTGGTTAAATTACTAAAGATGAGTGGTACTTGTTATTGAATATTGATCATTATGCACTAAAGATAGCATTAGAGGAAGTAATGCATTGTCCATTTTGTGTTAACCAAAAACATGTTTTTGAAATGCTCAATTATATGGTGTCTTTTGAAAATTCTCACATTATTCGCTGTCTGCATACAGAATATGGCTGCAATATATTATGCCAGATAATTATCTTCTGTTTTAGATGTGATGACCTTTTGAGGAAATGGAGAAGTTGGTAGTGCTCTAAGCTTCTGTTCAGGTCTTTCTTACTCATGGAATCTTTCAACGAAATCATCAATCACGTGTATCTCATTGCAAATTACACCGATGAGAAACAAAACAGGTCATTTGTGAAGCCTCCTAGCGTAGTTTATGTAGTAGAGATCCTGGTTGGGTCGTGTATCTCATTGCAAATTACACTGATGGGAGACAAAACAGGTCATTTGTGAAGCCTCCTAGAGTAGTTTATGTAGTAGAGAGCCTGGTTGGATCTAAGTTGCCGATTCAATTAAAATTAACGGTGGGGAATGATGTTAGAAAAATGTAAAAAGAAAGGCGAAACATAAAAACTAAGTGGGAGACAAAACAGGTCATTTGTGAAGCCTCCTAGAGTAGTTTATGTAGTAGAGAGCCTGGTTGGATCTAAGTTGCCGATTCAATTAAAATTAACGGTGGGGAATGATGTTAGAAAAATGTAAAAAGAAAGGCGAAACATAAAAACTAAGCATGGCAATTATAATGAGCACATACCCGTGCCCTGCTAAAAGGATTGTATTATTGAATTAGAAGTGACAATTTTTTCGACCAATATGTTGGTCGTGGTTAAAAATCTGATCTGAAAATTTTCCATTATGACATTACCCATGGTAAGTTGTTGAATGATCTGAAGTAAATTAACTCTTTTAGTGTGTGGCTTCCCGAGGCAAAACTGGGCTTGTACATTATGTTTGTGTTAATGTTATCAAATGGTGGCCATGGCGGTATGGTGTGGGGGTAGAGTTGTATGTGAATCGCATCGAAGCAACATTGAACCATTCGATTCGGGTTCCTGGAAGTATTCATATTCGTAGTCGATTTAATATAGATTTCAATTTGTGATTTCTATTCGATTCGTTCAAGATAATTGAATATATTCAATTTGTATTGAAATTCGTTTTCGAAAATTAGTTATACATACATACACACAATCACACATTCATATAGTTATATTAAATATAAAGATATGTTTGTATTATATGAATAAAATTTTATATTCTACATAATATATTATTTTTTTATATTATTCTAATCAAATGCTCTATAATTTGGGATCGAATATGTGTACATTTGGATTTGGATTTGGATTTGGATTTGGATTTGTGTGACTTTCTTTATAATACTATTCTTATTCTTATTTGAATTAATGATTCGAATCACGAATTGAATAAAAAAAAGTTCAATTCTATCACAGCCCTAGTGCTAGTGCTGAATTTCTGCCTAACTGCCTTGAGAAAATTGGGAAGGATGGTGGTGCAACCGGCCTCCATGGCGGGTGTGTATTGCGGGATTTGGGCCTTCCGCGATTTCTCTTCCTCCACCATGGGTAACATTAGTCTGTATATATTTTGGCATCTCACATTCTAGATAGCGTCTCAAGTTTTGAAGTTTTGTAGCCAAAAAAAAAAAAAAAAAAAGGTGATGATATGGGCTTGAGGTAATAAAGGAAACAATTGTAAGCATTCACCTGAAGCATTCCATCTGTCTAGCTGTTGCGTCTAGCAATCTCTGTGCTTGGATTGAAATTAGTTTATGTTTTACTTGTCATGTAGGGTGATGGTATGAAGTAGCTTACCTTGGTATTATATTGTCGTACATTAGGTAGAGAACATCTTAGTTTTCAGTGATAACAGAAAACCATGATTTCTCTTTCATAATTCTTTGATTCTCTGAAACAATTGAATTAGCAACCTTAGTTGTTACTGCATATAAACGGACTTCTGTTGTGTTTCCTTACGCTGGTAGATCCAACGAGTTAATACTTTCCGCGGGAAAAGACTGGAATTGAAAGTTAGCATAATTAGTGGATTTTGCTAGCTGGGAAGTAAGCCTAGATTATAGGATTTTGTTAGGCAAAAAATATTATTTTAATTCGGCTTTGGCTGGGAAGCTTTGGCAGAGGGGAAACCTGATGTTCTGACATTTTATTTAGTCAATCATCCATCTAATGTTTAGTTTTTCTTTATTCCTTGTTTTTCACTCCATCGTACAATGTGTAAAAATTAGATGAGATAGCAGAGTGGTTCTAGGTCATCATGTAACATTCGTTGCACGACCATCATACAATATAGTTGGTGCTCTTTTGAAATACAAATCTCATTTTGTTACATTACCAAGTTGGCTTCCTAGCTGGAAACAACTGAAAGGAAATCATGAAATAAGTAGTAGCTTGAGGGAAAGTAAGGTGATTATCTATACCAAATAAATTATCTGATCTTCTCAGAAACCCTTATTGTTCCGATAATGATAAGTTGCATTAACATGATTATACTGTATGCTCTAGATTTAAACATTAAAACAGAAACTTGCTTTGATAGAGGTTGTTGATTTGTTAGTGTAGAGCGTGCTGACTTTAGTACAATGTAACGAATAGCAGGATTTCCGAATCTTAGTCATTGGAAAGAAAATATAAAATAATGTTCGAGCAAATAACCATAATATCCAAGATAATAATTTGACCATTATATTTGAGTGTGTACCCCCTTAAACTGATACTGAATCATGACCTTTTGAAAGATACAATATAAAGCCATTTGTGGTAACTGGATTCACTTAATGGCCAGTGAATGGATTTTATTTAAAGCGTGAAATGGATCTTTCATATAACACTAGTGTACGTCTTACTCCAATCAATTGTAGATAATTTATTGATTACTAGGAATCAAGGTTTCAAAGTTCAAGTTGTGTTATATCTGAGGTTTTCTTCTGCTCTTCATTTGTGGCTATCCTTTTTTCTCCTTAATTTGCATTGACTTGCCTCTTCATTCGCTGTTCCTTGTTATTAGATCCTATACGGTGACTGTCATGGAAAAACCATCCTGCCGTTCTTTCGTTGTTCTTGTCATTAAGACTTGTGTGGAACATTGTATTCCCAAAAATCTCAGCTGTATATAGTTGTATAGAAATCCAAGCTAAAAATGGGTATTTAAAAGCTTGTTAGAACTCCCAACATGCCATACAGTTGTGCCTCAGCTCTTAAATTTTAGTGAGGACTCCTTGAGATGTTTGAGTACGTAATAACTTGGTTTGTGAGATCGTTTTTCATTCAGTCTTGTTCATGCTGCCGGCTACTCCAGCATACAAGATTTTGTATGTTTTGCCCGGTAGAAATTATGTGTAGAATTTGTAGCATCTATGGGTGATGAGTATGGAATTGCTTTGAATAGATTCATTAAATAATGTTTCCATCTCCCAATGTGGTTTATCTTTTGCTTGCCACCTTTGGGTTTCCATGTTAAGGCTGAGGGTGAGAAACTGAAGTTTTACCAAAAAAGGGTGGAGGGTAAAACAGAGGTTTTGGGGGCAACTCTAATTAGAGCTTGGGTTGATAAAAGTCCGAGCCCTCGAGTATCAGAAGCTCTAGCTCGGCTCGTTTACACTTCTATGCTGACCTTCATATTTCAAAGACCCTCATAGAAACTAATTTGGATAAAATTATGAATATCAAGAACATTGTGGATTTGGGTTATTTCTTTTATATTGACTAAGATTCTTACTATTGGTGGTTTTATTTATTCTATTTCTACTTTATCAAGTTCGTTTTTTCTCTGTTCCCATGGATGGCGTGGGTTTGCTTAGAATGCAAGGGGATGTTTCCCGGGGAAAGAAACCACCCCAGAAATTAGCTTTACTAATTTTACTTGCGATTAATACTTTTGATGTGACACATGCTAAAATGCGTTTGAATGTGCATTTTCACTGTTGAACTTCGTGTTTTAAGGGAGAATTCCACGTTAAATGCTTCACCACTTCCTCATGTGGTGGTGGTGGTGGTGGTATGTATGTTATTGTAGTAGAATTAGCATTTTCAAGCTGTTGAAATTTTCATGGATTGGCCTTTAATACTCGGATGATGGCATTTTTTTTTTAAAAAAAATAAAATCTCGTTTCTTTTTTTTTTTTTTGGCAGCTTTTACTGGAGTGGCAAAAATTCAAGAGTTATCCCGGACGTGAAGGGAGGACTTGGATGTAATCTATAATACTATAGGATCTGCATGTCCGAATGTTGATTTTGAGTGGTAAAGAGTTTTAAAGTACATTTTTCTTGCCTAAAGTACTTGTTTATGGGAACACGAAATCCTGTTTTTGTATAGTCCATCCCATTGCTCATGTTGAAAGTACTTTTTTTTTGGATTGTATGCCGATGCTTGCTTTCTTCGTAATCTCTCAAGCTACATTTCGTACAACTGTTAATTAACGAAATGGGAAAATATGATTAAGGCTGCCCCTCGTTATCAACCGTCAACGCAGGCCTAATAGCATCTCCAGCAGGACACTGCACTAAAATATGTA